ACATAGAATTTTTAAATTGTTAATTTGATACCGATTGAGTCTTCAAATATATTTTATTCAAATATAAAAAATTAGCATTTTTTCAAAATTATATAAAATTATACTATAAAACAAAACATTAAAATTAAAATTAAAATATATCTCACTATACTATATGAGTATTCTTCTAGATTGAATTTTAAAAGGATCATGCTTTATTGTTTTGATATCATGAACTTAAAAATTAACCATATGTTTAAAGCTTATTCTCTTCAGTTCCTACCACCATACGTCTTTGTGGTCCTTATAATCATTTGAAATTTATCAATTTGCACAAAACGTGAGTAATTTACACATCTTACACTCTTTCTTCTGATTTTCAAAATTAAATTGTGTAGGACCATCCTAATTCACCTAGCTACCAAGTATTCTACTTTATCAATTCACTATCTTAATCTTGTTATTGAAAAGACAATTTGTTGTCGAAATAATTAAACAAACTGGATTTTGTTGAGAAAACATGAATGAATTAAATTACAGAATAACTATTTAATATCTTCTAATGCACAAAACCATAAATACAACAGTAGTATACATACTGTTATTATATTGTGTAAGTAAACAAATGTGAGTTTTCTGTGCAAATGATGTTAGATTTCTCTTTCTTTGAATTATTAAAATTATTTGTAGACATTTAAGCATAATAAAAGACTTAGGGGTCATTTACCAAGTAAGCGCTTACCCTTACCAAGTAACATTACATCACCGTATGAATATGGTAAAGACTAAGAATCTTACCCGGTAAGAGCGAAACAAGGACCAATAGTTTTATCCGGTAAGTGTAGGCGACGACTCTTACCACGGTAAGCACTTACCGGGTAAATTGTTGCATACGATGTCGTTTTGGTGGATTAAAATCTTATCCGGTAAGTAAATAATAGTGTTAAATTTTACCGATAAACACTTACTAGGTAAGTGTTTAGTAAACGGTTCCTTAGTCTGAAACTGAATAAATAGATATGATGATAACATTTCTCTTTAATCATTACCATCCCAAATTTCTAATGATTCATATCTGCAGCATCTTTCTTATGTTGATTCCAAAAACATTTCAGGGTCCGCATGCCTCAAAAGGTCACCCAAACCTCTACAACACTTCAATCCGAGTCCTTTGCAATGCCAACTCCTCCGAAGGATTCAACCCACAGAAAGATGTCAGCCTCCCGGAGATCAATCTCCGGACCGGCAACATTCCCCCCAACCTTCTGTCTCCTCCATCATCCACCACTCCTAGGATCCACCTCGCGTTCTTTGCAGGTGGGGTCCATGGTCCCATACGACCCCTCTTACTCCACCATTGGAGGGGCCGGGACCCAGATCTTCAAGTCTACGAGTACCTCCCGAAAAACCTAGACTACTACTCCTTCATGTTTGCCTCCAAATACTGCCTTTGTCCTAGTGGTTATGAGGTGGCCAGCCCTAGGATTGTTGAGTCCATTTATTCGGAGTGTGTGCCGGTCATAATATCCGAAAACTATGTTTTACCTTTTAGCGACGTGTTAAAGTGGGAGGCATTCTCGATTCGTGTTAAGGTGTCGGAAATTGGTCGACTGAAAGAAATTTTGACGTCGGTGCCTGAAGAAAAGTATTTGAGGCTAAAGAGTAATTTGAGAGCAGTCAGGAGACACTTTGTTTTGAACCAACCTGCGGAAAGGTTTGATGTGTTTCATATGATATTGCATTCTGTTTGGCTTAGGAGATTGAATTTGAAACTAGAATAGAACTCAACTCATAGTGATGTTATAGCTAGGTTCATATATACGTTATAAGTTCAGAATAGAAAAGTTGTTGCAATTTTATTTATATTAACTAAGTATATTAATTTGGTTTAAAATACGTAATTTATTCATCGGAATAAAAATCTGAATTAATGTTCTTTTCTTTTTGTAAAGGGCATCATATCGATTTTTCTATCTATAATATTTTTGAATTTGTGATTGGTAGAGAAGACCCAGTAGTAAAGTTTTTGGTATCGTTCAAGCTATTATGGATAAACTCATTGTTCATAATGAAGGAACTATTGTTCACAACTGTTAATATTGTGTTTATATATACACTAGCTGCATATCTCAACATTGGTTCGCTTCTGAATGTGTTCATAATGAAGGAACTATTATTCACAAGTTGTTCATATTGTGTTCATACCTATTTTTTATTTATTTCCTTTCGTGTAGTAGTTATTCTTATTATGTTTATATTGTACTCATAAATGCTATGCAGTCCATGTTCATATGTATGTCAATTTTTGTTCGTATTTGACACAATGGTTTATATATATATATATATATGTGTGTGTGTGTGTGTGTGTTCATATGGTTCTTACATTAACAAAAATAATGAGATTTTTTTGATTTTATAACTCTCAATTAATGATATGGGACTTACATTAAAAAGAAAATTACCTAACGAGCCTTTTCCCCTTTGTTCACATATGTTCTTTGAAATTGTAAATTTAAAAAATTAATTTTTTTATCATGATTAATCACAAATCGTTTATTGTAAGAATCAATGGCCAAGATTGGTTAACAAAGTTAACACAATAACGAAAAAACACAGTATGATGCACTTGGTAAAGAAAACATTACCTGATATATTGTGTTACACTTCGTAAAACAACAAAAATATATTATGATACACTTCGTATAACGACAAAAATATACTGTGATACACACTATGATACCAGATCTGGTTGATGAATACAACTGTGATACCACTATGTTACCAGTGTGATACCCAATAACTATTAACAGTAAGAAATTATATATTTATTTTCTTAATTGTAACTTCATAGAAAGAAACTTCCATAATTTGTTTGATTAATAAGAAAACAATATCAATCTCTTTGATTGATAACCTTTAAAAAAATATTAATAAAATTACTAATACACCTTTTTTCTTAATTAAGGTAATGCAATTAATATAATAAAATGATTGACTTATATTGGATCTCACAGTTACCACAAACTAATTAATTAGTTCTCATTTGATTAGTCTTATATATATATATATATATATATATATATATATATATAGGGGAGCGATCAAATGCAAACCACTCAATTTGTACAAACCGTGCAAACCGCATTCAACCGATCATAATTTTTCATATTGTTCATTTTTTTGTAATTATGAGAGGTTGATTAATCATTTTTATTGTGGAGGGTGTTAATCATAGATATTATCATCTTCATTATTTTAATTTTAGAGAAATACATGAAACAGTTTCATTAATGTTAGAGAAATACATGAAACAATTTCATTAAGTATTATATGAAACAATTTCACAACCATATATGAAACAACTTCATCAAAAAAAGTATTATATGAAACAATTTCACAAGATTAAACAATTTCATGAAAAAATTTCATAAGATTAAACAATGAAATCGACAGATGAAGGTGGTTTGCACGGTTCACACAAATGAGGACGGTTTTTATATGATCACTCCTCTATATATATATATATATATATATATATATATATATATATAATCAAATGAAAACTAAATAGTTTGTGATAACAATCCGATTGAACTAATAATTTAAGCTAATTATTTTATTTATTAAATAAATATTAAAGGATGATTTTGTAATTTAATCTATACTATATTATAAAACATTTGACAAAAACTCTTAAAATTTATTTTTTATACATGAAGTACTGTATATTGATGCATATTACTTAAAATTCAAGTTTACAAGTAAATTATGCATAAGTACAACTTATTAAAGCTCTACGTTTGAATTCGTTTAACTAACTGCGGATAAACATAATCAAATAGAGGATTATATCTCAATTTAAAATGTAAAAAATCTAAAATATGATTAGGATAATTATCGAGTTCTAACAAAATAATTAATTATTATCTTTATAAAAAAATTATATTATTAAACAAAATATAAATTATTTTGTTATTTAACCTAAATTAAATTATAATAAAAAAATTGAATTAAAAAATTACACAAAAAATAGAAATTTTAAATAGTTAGTTTGATATTAATATCGATATATTTTGTCAAATTTTTATGATATCTTCAAATTTATATTTTATTCAAAAATGAAAACATCATCGTTTTTTTCAAAATCACATAAGACCATACTATAACATCGATTGAGATAAATAATAAAATGAAATATTAAAATCAAAATGAATATCGATGCATTGCACGAATCTATACTATATTATGGAGCATTTGACAAAAACTCTTAAAAACAATTTTTATGCATAAAGTACTGTTTATTGATTCATATTACTTAAAATTCAAAATCACAAGTAAATTATGCGTAAGTACAACTTATTAAAGCTTCATTTTTGAATTTGTGTAACTAACTATAGATAAACACAATCAAATACGGAATAAACATCCCATTTTGAATATAAAAATTCTAAAATATAATTAGGATAATCGTTAGTTATAACAAAATACTTAATTATTATCGTTACAAAAATTATATTATTAATCTATACTATATTATAAATCATTTGACAAAAACCCTTAAAAATAATTTTTTATGCATAAAGTACTGTTTCTTGATTCATATTACTTAAAATTCAAAATCACAAGTAAATTATGCGTAAGTACAACTTATTAAAGTTTCATTTTTAAATTTTTGTAACTAACTTTAAATAAGCATATTCAAATATGGGATAGACATCTCATTTTGAATATAAAAAATCTAAAATATAATTAGGATAATCATTAGTTATAACATAATACTTAATTATTATCTTTATAAAAATTATATTA